TAAAGTGTCCCGAGGCCGTCATGACCACCCTTCTCATTCCTGTTCCACACTCAAAAGTTAAAGCAATAAAGACTCAGAGATTGGAAAGAAAGTAATGAAACTGCTCCTCACAGGTGACATGATGTTCCATGTAGAGTGAGAAACAACAATAACAACTGCTGGGGAAGAAACTCCGTGGTCGGGCACCCCTGATTCAATCCCCATTACTGGAAAAACAACACCACTAAGAACTCCTGCTCTTTGGAGATGCTATGAAGAAAATGAAATGATAAATCACGAGAAAAGATTTGCAAGACGTGGATCTCAATCCAGTATAAAGAACTCCTGAAACTCAATAAGAAAACAACCTATTGTTTTCTAAATGGGAAAACGATTGGAGAAAACACTTTACCAAAGACATACAGATGGCTGATAAGACATGAAAATATGCTCAACACCATTACTCATTGGGAAAACACAGACTGGAGCCCTAATGAGATATGACTACTCATTTGTTGGAAGGGTTACAATTTGAAAACCAAATATAGCAACAAATGACAGTGTCAAGCATTGATGAAGATGCAGAGGAACTGGAATTCTCATAAATTGCTGGTAGAAAGAAGAAACTGTACAGTTGTTTCCTATAAAGTTCCATCTTTTACTTTATGACTCACCAATTGAACCCTTAAAACTTTACTCAATAGAAATGAAAATTTGTGTTCACATGCCTGTACACCAATGTTTGTAGTAGCTTTATTTATAACTGCCCCTAAACTAGCTGGGCCCAATGGTCCATGCCTGTAGACCCAGAAGCTTGGGAAGCTGAGGCAGGAGGATTAAAGCCAGCCTCTATAGCTTAGCAAGGTCCTAAGAAACTTAGTGAGAGTCCCTGTCTCAAAAATTTAACAAATTAAAAAAAAAAAATAGAGGGGGCTGGGAATTTTGCTCAGTGATTAAGCGCCCCTGGGTTCAATTTCTGGTGCAAAAACAAACAAACAAACAGAACTACAAAAATTGTGGTATATATGTGTATTAAGAATTGTAATGGCCCCCCAAAGAGCACATGTATAAAGGCAAAACAAAACAAGAACAATAACAAACTACTTCCAAAATCTAGATACACTGTAAAAGTCCTTCAGTGGTGAATATGTAATAATAGTTAGGGCATCCATACACTACTACACAGAAGTAAAAGGAAACAGACTACTGATATGACCAACAACATAGATGAATTTCAAATGTGTTGTGTTAAATGAATGAAACCAGATTTAAAAAGCCACAACTCCACTTATATATGATTCTGGAAAGCAAAAACCCATAAGGATGTAGGGAGAGAAATTGACAAGAGATGAAAGGGTTTTCTGGATAATGAAACTGGTTTAACGTTGATTATGGTGAGGAGTACTCAATGGTATGCATTTGTCAAATTCCCAAACTATAGTCTAAAAAGGAAATCTGTTTGCAAATTATTCCTCAATAAATGACATCTTTACAAAATTTTACCATGGCTTCCAGGTTTGTACTTCATCAAAACTAAATTCCAAGATTGATTTTCTGGGCCTTTCTAATTTTGACCCTATGGGTTAACCTCATTGCCCATGCCACCTTGTGCTTCAATTAGATCCGTTTCTTCATCATTCTATTAACATCCTACTTCCCTGTTTC